AAATATATAAGTGTTAATTAGTGCCTCTACGTCAACTTATATCACGCCACAATGCTAGATCATCAATGCCAAGGCGTCTATTTTAGACGTTGTAGTGTTGACTTTATTTATTATGTAGCATTGAAACAACACAAAGGTCAACTCGATCCATATCACCTCATAGCGTCATTGCGCTTGAAATTCAGCATTGCAACATTGGAGCCTTAAGAAAATTCAAGTCTAAGTGCCACACCTATCAACGCCTGAGTACTGGATTCCTAATTCAAGCATTGTAACGCTCAAATTTTGGAGCGTAGAGGTGCTAATTCATTTTTCATCGTTATAGAGCCACCTTATCGAGGCCGCGGTGCTTGAGCCCGTCTTTGTACTTACTACAAATAATTTTTCAATTTTGTTGTTTGAGAGTTTTGTCACTTGAGTGAAATTTTATAATTTTAAGTGTGTTTCTTTAGTGCCCCTTTAGAGTAAAGTCTAAGTGAGGCTAGAAAAATACAAGATATTTCTCCTTATGGAGATCTTAGCTTTTTTATGTAAGAAACTCTGTGTTTGGTTGAAGGAGTGTGGAAAAGATCATTTGATCCACCTAAGTAATAATTTTCTTATTACTTTTATTATATTTTTTCTTTAAATGAATGAAATGAAGATGAGTTTGCTTGTTATTTCTTCTAGGTTTGGCTAATTCTCAAGTTTTGGGCTAATGATGTAGAAGATGCATAAAAAATTAATATAGATTCTTATGTCACAACCCAACCCGATCATGACATGTCCTATCATATTGATCTATGAGAGAAAAATAACATGATATTGTTTTACAATATTTTATATTCTTTTTCAAATTTTATTTTAAATAAACTACATATTACAAAGCTATTAAAATCAGAGTATTATAAATAAACTCATCCACATTATTTCTTTCATTTCATCAAAATATATATACACTACAATATATGACTATCAAATAGAAGTTATATAATAGTAAAATACCAAAACTTATATTTGATCATAAATTATTAATCAACAAGTTCCTCCCTTTCCCGGATCTTGAAAATCAGAAATAAAATTATAATGAGCTTAACTAGCTCAGTAGGCCACACAAATAGATCTAAAGTTTTAAATTATTTTATTAAATATTTTACTAAATATTGATTTTAGAATAATTAAAAGAGTTAAATACACTCAAATAAATCAGTGCACTGAAAAAGATAAAAGTAGTAGTTATCAAAATATTTAAATAACAATATCAAATAAAAATAAATTAAAATTTAGTAGCTTATATCATAAAGCAATTTATATTATATATCATGGTCTTATACTTAGGCTTTGTTTGGGACGGCTTTTTTATTGCTTCTTGAAGCAACTTTTTAGTTTAAAAATTTTCTTTTTTGTATTATACAGCTGCTTTTAGAAGCAGTAAGAAAGCCGTCCCAAACGAAACCTTAATCTCAAAGGATTGTGGCCCTTTATGGCTCCTTTTTGTGCTTATAATACTAAAATATGCCTGTAAGCAATAGAAAATGACTTATGTCCACTAGAACTTGTCTTATAAGCACAAAAAATATTTCCTAACACATATAGAATATCAAAGAAATCTTGCCTCATATATCTCCCAACAATCATAATTCAATCATAAGCAAAAATTTCATCATTTTAGAACAATTAAAGCATGATTGAGCATGTGGCAGAATTGTACGTTTTTCCATAATAATAGGCAATAATTCCTACTGAGCGAATTTTCACAGTAGTTTCAGAACATAACCAAATTATCAGGGATTGTGTAAAGCACTATTTCAAATATTTAATTGTTCTACAACATTAATTTTTAGTGTATGAATTATTTTATGTTCAATTAAATTTATACAAAATTTAAGATATCCGGTATAAAATTTAAAAAAAAATATTCAAAACGTTCATAATCTTAATCTTTAAAGCGTATAAAAAGTTAGACAAGGAAAAGTTTTTACAATGTAAAGTTATTTTGTATTTTTTTTAATAATAAAAATATAGATTTAATTGTAAAATTAAAAAAAAATCTCATATTTTTTTTAAACTTAGTCATAATTATGACCTAACTCAATCCAAATAATTATCCCAATAGTTAAAAATAACCAAAAGCGACTTTAAAAGGAACTTCCCTCTCCAAACCTCTCTCTTTCTCTCTCCTCAATGCTGGCTTTTAAAATAAAATGAATCGAATAATGGATTTAAAATATATTTAAAGTGCTCAAAATGGCCTTGCATTGCAGCGCTACCTCTGGTCGCTGCAATGCTAATTCAAAATCTCATTTTTTGGTGACTATGTGTGATGAAATGTCACTACTTGGCACTTGTTACTATAGCAACACTAAGGCGTCAGACAAGCAGCATCGATGCACTCCATTAGTAATATTTTTCAATTTTTATCGAAATTCATACCAAATATTTATGACTCATTTTAGACCACACACATACATTTTCATAAACCAAAATACTCTAAAAGATATACAAATGGATTCAAAGCTTAAATGTTCAAAATTTACATTTTTTCAATCGGGTCAATATGGGTAGAACTGAATTCTAAACCTGAAGGTATCATATCTTGTGCTTTAATGAATGTATTAATATTTTTAATATATCTCGTTCTTCATTTAATGCATACAATGATCATGTGTATAATTAAAATCTAGTGTGATGTAGTCTCGATGGAGGAATACTACAATAATTAGAAGTATTGAAATGGAATATTGACATGCCTAGACATATGATATTTGAATATTCAAAGTTCTCTATATATAAACAACTATAGGAAGTTCATAAATCTTTTTTTTTTTCACCCCTACAATCTCGTTATATATCTAGAGATGTATATTCTTTGATCCATATATATAATTAAGAGTCTCATTAGAAAAACTATATTGTTTATATTCATTAGTAAAAAATACTTTAATTTTATAAAGTATCAATTTTCTTTGCAAGTTTTTCTTTCTAAGACAATAACTCAAAAACACCATTTTTATTGTCTTAGAAAGAAAAACTTGCATGCATACAATGGGTGTTAAATATAGAAAATTAGTGAGTTACCTTTTTAAGTCGAGTCAAAACAAATTGATTGTGCCATAATTTAGGAGGTGTTACATTACTGACCTTAAGATAGTTTCCTAGCTACTAGATAATTGAATGCATTTGATGACTTGATTTCTATAACTGATTATGATTGTAATGATTGCTACGTGGCAAACAAATTTATCATTGGTCTTATGATGAACATAAGAAATAAGGTTGGACTATTTTATCCCAAAATCATAGACAAAGCCTTCCGTTATATTATTTTTGCAGAAAAAAGCTTCTCTCTCTAGATATAAGAGTCAAGTCTTTCACTTCCTCCCATAAGTCTATGCTAGATCCACTCCACCCATTGGCCAAATCCATGTGTCCAAAACTTCTATTAAAGGGAGTTCTATGAAAACTAGGATATACTTTAAAATCCATAAGAAATATTATGTACAAAATCAATGCAAAGCTCGCATTCTATTGTTAGAAAAAAATCTTATATTCAAAAGATAATGTATTGTTAGAAGTTTTTGATGATACCCCATTGTATGGTGATGAACTATAATCTTTAGATGATTCTTAAATTAGTGTAATGAGATGCTTCATTATAGCTAGGAATGAAATGGTTCAATGGTTAAGAAATAACATTTTCAGCAAAAAATATTATGTGCTATAATAGGTGTAAATTCATTATAAATTTGGTAATGCTATGAATTTATTTTTAACACATATTCTTACTAGTTTCGATATGAAAACTGAATGTTGCACTAAAACCTTTTATGTTAGCCAGGACAATCATAATTCTCTCCTCATCATAAGTCCACGCTTAGTTTTCATCAAAATATGTGACTACGAGGATCAAATTTATTATGATGTCATCATCATATATACTGCCTATATTCTTTTAGGAATATCTTAGCGGTGTGATATCAAATGTTATTCACTATAGTCGAGAAACTTTTTAGACTTGTCATATCATTTTTGGCACAATCAACTCTTAGTATTGTTATGTTTTAATGATTGTGTTATTCACCCTCATTATAATCTTTTGACTCAAAAAATATCTAAAATCAACTATGCATTTTTGGTTAAATTCCTCAGTATAATCATGATATTTTGATTATAATAACTTGATTTAATCATAATATACCATTTTCTAGTTATACTATTTTGATTAGAACTTTCATAGTTTAGCAATTTGCTTTTGGTTAAACTATTATCAGACTTGTCCATTTCAAATTTGGTTAAGTTAACCCAATAATCATTCCTTTTTTTATAAATTCTAAAACCACCCTTTGTATGTGTCCATATGAGTACCAATTTTTGGATAAGTCTAGCCTTACTTAATCAGACTCTTTTGATAGAATATTTGCCGTTCAATTGCTTGCTTTCTAGGATTGAACACTACATAATTTTTAGTGTACTTACATGCTAATTTTTTACTTTATTCTATGCTTACACTGGTTACTCACGAGAAATTATTAGGTGCGGAGTCCGGACGTAGATATTCAATTGGATTTATTTTTTTACTTTATACATTTTATGTGTCCGTAGAACTTTAAACCAAGCGTACTAAAAGCGTAGTCAAAACGTAGGTAAAACGCAATAAAAGAACAACCAAAACACAACTAAAATACAACTAAAGTATAGATAAAACGAAGATAAAGCAAAAATAAAGTGCATATAAAGTACAACCAAAATGTACTCTACATGTCAAAATTTAAATGAATGGTGGAACATATCTCTACGTCTAGACTCCTCACCTAATATTTTCTCAGTTACTCATATCTAACATTAGAAACTTTACATGTATGATATATATATATATATATATATATATATATATATATATATAAACTCGAAGTTAAACCAAATAGCCGGCCATGATGCTCCGATTAGAAACTTTACATGTATGATATATATATATATATATATATATATATATATAAACTCGAAGTTAAACCAAATAGCCGGCCATGATGCTCCGCAGTGCTTTTTCTTCTTGAGATTTATTAAACCTCTGTGCATTGCTGGAAGGAGGGAGCGTTTCCTCTTCCCCTTCCGCGGCATAGCACAACTGGTAACGGAATCTCTGCCAATCTGAAGATCTCGCCGGAACCCTAATCTCTCCATGTCGTCGTCCTCGTGGCCCCCGCCGCCTCCCTCTCCCGGCTGCTTCTCCCCAATCTGTGGCCAGCATGATGACGCAGCAGACTCCTCCTTCGATGAGGGCGAGGACGAGGATAACCTCCGACGATTCATGCAAACGTTTGGCTCCAAACAGGATGACTTCTGCTACGCAGGCAATGGGGACGAGTCAGATTCTTGTTCCGATGGTGAGGGCAGTGCAGGCGATGACATCGCCTATCTCCGGCGGCTTCAGGAGCAGTTCTTACCGCCTGCGGTCGCTTTGGGCTCCCCCGGGACCCCTCCGATCTTGAAGCCTCTTCGCGCCTTCCCGCCGCTCGATACGGACGATGACGAGGATTTCGAGACTCTCCGCGCCATCCAGCGGAGGTTCGCGCACTATGGGGGTGGTATGCTGTCACAATGCTGTTGATTTATTCTGTTTACTAGGGCTTTGTTGGTGTGTAGGTTGATTGATGATATCTAGGGGTGCTTTAGAGTGTTGTAGGAATGGGTGCTAGGGTAGAAAACCATGCCGAGGAAGTGCGGGTTCATTTGGTTGCTTTAGAATCACATATTTAAAAACAGTGACTTAGTTAACTTCATCATTTGATTGAAATGATTGGATGTGATAAGAAAATCAATATTTAGTTCAGGCTACATATCAATGTGCAACCAAATGTTTCCTGAGTATAGAAAGGGAAAATTGACTTTATACGCCTCATTCTATCATACAACAACAACAACATCAAGCTTTTATCCCACTTCGTGCGGTCGGCTACATGAAAAATTTTCTCCATTGTGTCCTATTAATAGTCAAATTCTCATTTAAATCTAATTAAGAAAGTTCATTTCTAATATTTTCTTACTATGTCTTTTTAGGTCTACCTCCACCTTTCTTAATATAAGACAAATCTAATACATCTACTATCTTAACCGGTCATCGGAAGGCCGCTGTTTAATGTGACCAAATCATCTAAGTCGACTCTCTGTCTTATCTTCCATTGAAGCTACTCCAACCTTTTTCACGTATATGCTCATTTCGTATGCTATCTCTAAGAGTAAAGACATTATCCATTGAGCATCCTCATCTATGCAACATTTAACTTAATATTATGTTTTTCTTAATGGCCAACATTCTGCACCATAATGCATTTAAATGTCTAGTTAGAACACCCATAATTAAACCAAAAAGATATGGGCTTAAGGCTGATCCTTGATGTAATCCAACTGAAATATGAAAATATTTGGTCAAACCGCCTTGTGTTTGAACACAAGTAACAACTCCTGCATACATTTCTTTAATGACCTAAACATAAGCATTATTAACCCCTTTCTTTTTTAGAACTCTCCATAGCACTTCTCTTGGACCTTTATTATATGCTTTATCTAAATCAATAAATATCATATGTAGATCCTTCTTATTTTCTCTATACTTCTCCATCAAACCTCTCTATAAATGTATAGCTTTCATAGTAGACTTACCCGGCATGAATCCAAATTGATTTTGAGAAACATTATATCCTCCTTATTTCGTTTATGAGGGATACCTCTTTATAAAATCTTATTCAAGAATTAGCACAAGTTGTTTCGGGCCATAAGAATCCATCAAATTCATGGAAGTGATTTTCTAGTTTGAGTGGGGAACTCACTCTGTAGCTGAATGTCTAGCTAGAAAATTCTCTGAGAAGGTTACTAATGGCCTACCATGGGAGAAGATCCTAAATGTTTTTTGTGCGAAGGTGTAGAGCTGTCAATTGCATAGAAGAGTAATTTATCTACCCAACCAAACTATTTAATTAATCATTTCACCTTGTTTTTTTTTTTTCATGTGGTTTGTCATTGTGGGAAATGAAATTAATTGCTTTATTCCCAAAGGTGTCTCGACAATTCTATTTTATTATTTTTGTAGGGGATTATTTTACCAAGTTAGTGCAAGAATTTGCTCCAATCAAGCCAAAAATTGAACCTGTATTTAACTTTCTTTGGTTTGAAAAATTTACTAGGTTTGACCTTGCTCTTGGTAGCATTACGGATAATACTCTAGCAAGGTATCAATATCCTTTTTCTGCCAATAAATGAGTCAATTTGAAGTTCTATCATGTGCATTATCCCTAAACTAGTGACCAAGCTGAGCCTACCAATAAATTTGCATTCAATCTCCCAATAAACGAGTCAATTTGAAGTTCTATCATGTGCATTATCCCTAAACTAGTGACCAAGCTGAGCCTACAAATAAATTTGCATTCAATCTACTGAAGAAGAAGATATTGGATCTCTTTGAATGTTGGCCTAGCGAGCTATTATCCATTATCTTGGCATATCGAACAGCCCTTTCTATGATCAACGGTGAAGCTCACTTTTCGCTTTATTTTGGATATGAAGTAGTCATACTTTTCTTCCTGACAACAAGGAACAAGCCAATCATCTAAATGTCGGTGAAACATGTCTTAGCTTGGGTTTACAATCACCAAGAATCACAGAAAGATTACCTAGATTTGTTTAAAGAAATCATAAATGTATCATTTGCTGAAGTCCCATAGTAGAATACGCAAATCATTCAAAATTATATCATTGAGCAATAAAATCAGAGGGCTCGCTTGTAGATCTAGTTCTATGAAATCTTGAGATAACTAGAAGTCACTCTAATGCACGAAAGTTATTGATCAATTGGGAAGTCCTCTACATTGTCAACTAAAGAATTGGAGGAACTCCACTACAAGCGTTAGATAAGCGAGGGTGATTTACTTTTGAAAACTTGAAACTTTGATGATTTTAACCTTTTAGTTCCCTAAAAATTAACCTGCTCTCAGTTACATGCGTATATAATATCTTAGGGTCCTCTTGAGAAAGAAGCCTAAAGGACATACTCATGCAAAAGCTTGATCAACTAGTGGGGGGATCATAGACTAAGAGGAGAATGACATTATTTTGTCTACAAATATCTGTTTATACTTTAGTGTTATGAACGCGCATTATATTATACTCAAAGCTTCATAAATGAAAAATGCTCTCTTTCAAACTCTTCAATTATTAGAGTTGTTTCATTTTCATCATGCACCCATTATTCTATGTGTTCCTTAAACCTTGTAAAGTTAAAAGTCTTTTATATGAATTAAAATTAAGCGAGAGCTGCTTGCTAGCAGCAACAACCAAGGCCCAACCTTCCTTTCCGACTACCAATTTAAGGAAGGGCTGACGGCAACCAAGTCAGTTCACTAGCGCCAATAACCAAAACTTTGTTTGCTTATGTCAACAAGTAAGAAAAGGATGGTTGATAACAACCATGGCATATAGCCTTCTTCTATTAACAACCAAGATAGAAAGGGCTAACAACAATCAAGTTTGCTACGATCATCTACAACCCAGGCATAGTCTATTTCTACCAACAACCAAGGCAAGGAAGGACTGATGATTTCCAAGTCAGTTACTGGAGCCAACAACTAAAGCCTAATCTACCTTTATTGACAACTAAAGTAGGAAAGGGTTGCTGATAACCAAGTCAGTCACTAGCATGACAAATAAGGCCTAATTCGTCTCTACTGGCAACGATGATAAGAGCTCTATTGACTTACTTTAATTCAAGTCACTGCTCGATCTTACAAACTATTTGCTATACAAGAGAAACATACATTCATACAAATCAACAAATACAACACAAAGGAAATTAAAATCAGATTAAATTTAATCAATATACAATATAAACAAGTCAGTTGCTAGCGCAAATAGCCAATGTCTGCTTGTCTCTACTGATAAGCGGGACAGGAGCTCTTTTATCCTACTCTAGTTAAAGTCAAGGCTTTATCTTGCAGACATAGGCAAGGGGGGGGCATGGTGGGGCACATGAAAAAAAAAAAAATTGTATGACCCTTTGTCAGCTTTAATTTTATTTATTAAAGGTTTTTTTTTTTTTTTATTTCAAGCCTTCAATCCAACTTCTATCCAGACCATGCAATGCTTAAGTTGTAGAGATGGAAAGACTAATAGGTAAAGTGTTGAAAGAGAGAGAGAGAGAGGCAAAAATGACTTTCCATTTGGGGCCCAATGATGAAAAGAGATTTTGACACAGCGTTGCAGAGCTATTTAATGATTTATTATTTAAAATGTTTAATTATTTAAATTATAATTAAATATGATTTTATTAAAACTTTTATTTGTTAACTAACTATTCATTATCTAATAATAATTATTAAATATTAAATATCACCCATATATATATATATATATATTTATTTTTGCACTATTAATAATCTAATTAATTAAGGTGAATGGTACATTTTGCTTTTCCTCTCTCTGTTTGCGCAACGGAAATGTTGCGGACGCGCATTTATGACTTAGTACGAGAGTTCTCCTCTAAAGGATTTAGCTAAAGCTAAAACTGAAAGACGAAAGGGGCTTAAATCTAATTGTTTTAGTGGCTTAATAGAGCAACAAGTTCGTCAACGAGAAAAGTTGCTCTAATTTGTGTAACTCTTCCTTTTAAAGTTATTTATTACTCCAGAAAAGTCACCAATATTTTTTTATGGACACATGAAAAGCATCAATAGTTTGTTTTCCCCTTTACTTCTCTCTCACGACTCACGAGTCACTACCTCAAACACTGTTTTAGTTTTCCCTTTCGCTCTTTCTCACCTCCAAACAAAGACCGTCCGTGGTAGATGTTTATGCCTTATAAGCTCTAAGGGTCATGTTATTTGCATTCTTAATTTTGATCTTATAGCTCCTCTTAGCTCCGGTAATGAGACAAATTTCTGGCTCCGCCGAACAAAATTTCTGGCTCCGCCACTGCTTGCAGACTAGTGGGCATAAATGACCAATATGAAATAGTACAATTTAATAAATACAACACATAAGATAAACATTAGAGCAAATTCAATCAATGTGTAAAAACTTTTCATTTCATGTTTCCAAGAACTCACTATCTTTCAGAATGGAAGATACTAGAAGTGAAAGCTTTACATTGTAGTTTGTTTCCTCTTGGCACTTTTATGTGCTCTATCTTCATACAAAATTCAAAACCATCCTTTTAAAAAACTTCCTCCTGTACAAGCTGCTCATTGATCATGTCTTTTATGGCATCGTATCTATCCTCTATGTAGTTGAGAGTGTATATGGCTTACATATTGGTAATTCTGAATTTGAACAGAATTTTGTTGGGATCCATGAGAGGAAGCTTACTCTATTTTGCAAGTCGTGTCTTTAGTAGCTTGTCCTTCTCCTTGAAGGATCAACACTGCTCTTCAACCTCCTTCATCTTGCCTCTTAGGAGGGCTATTTGGTCTTCATGGTAGCTCTACTACTTTGCATATATGACCTGATCCTTATAAATTATTTGGCAATCACAAACTTCATCTATATGGGTTAACTTTTTCAAGGACTTTTGGGGGCTTCAGTCTTAGCTTTATTACCT